TGGTTTTTCAGCTTTCAGAGTGTCAAGAAGTTGTATCGCGTGGCACCAACCTGTGCAGCTGCGCAGTGCTTTCTTCAAGCCATCGGACGATAATATTGTATGTTTTTGGTCCAAGTGAGCTAATGACTGTTCAGTGCGGTTCAGCTTTTCTTTTTCAAGGGCCCATATGCATCTGACCGATCTTCTCGCTTCTAACTAATGCCGCCATGTTCAATGTCCGTGAAGTGCGAGGGAAGGTACTTAAGTATTCTTACTTATCAGCTTGCTTATCGCCGAACCGTTGTATATCCTGTTTCCCGTTAATTGTGATGCTTAGTTCCACCCCGCGACTACAATTAGATCTCCAGCGCTTCTGGACTCTCCGTATCATCTGACATTACGCCCGTCATGATACTCATCCGCGAAGAAGTTGATAGCTTAGTGGCTTTATGCATAGATAGTGGTGGACAGCTGTCGACTTCCTTCATCGTGAGTGTTGAAAACGTTAGGAGAATGTCTATATATGCCTCAGCTCGGTGTACTCTCTGTCACTGGACTGAAATTAGAGTTTGTCTCGCCTAAATCAGTTTCGGCGTCCAATCGGAGCGCTTGAGCCCCGAGTTCAAGTTTTTTTTGGAAAGATCCAACATCATAGACCCATGACGCTACTTGTGGTTTAAAGCCAACGACCATGCTGGCGTCTTATCAATCCCCGCTCTCTCTCCCAGCCATGGCATTCAAAGAGACTGAACCCGTTCACGGTATGGATCTCACCTCAGGTAATTATTGATTGGCATCACTGGAGTCTAATCATAAAGAAGTTCCAGTCATAAAGATCCCAAAAGACCCATTTACAAACAGCCTAAGGAAAGCCAAGGCTCTGGATTACGCCGCAGTCACTGCAAATATTACACGGAACATCTCCCAATTCGCTGATGTTCCATTTCTATCGAGTATTGCTTCAAGCAGTTTGGTTATATTTCCTATGGTCAAAGTAAGCTGCATATTCCTACATTTGTGCTTGAATATACAACGATCCATATGAAATACAGTCAGCTAAGCTTAACAAGGAAATATGCATGCAGCTTGTGGAACGAATACATCAACTGCATTGTGCCGTTATCACCATATGCATTGCCACAAAATGCATCCTGTCCATGGAGATGCTGGGAACCATAGCTAATTTCGCTGAGCATGTTCACCTTTTTATGTTCCCAAGTTCTTTATTTACTTGTATCATAGAACACTTCAAAAAATCCGGGGATGTTTGCGCTCTCAACAGGAGCTGGGAAAAATTAGACGCCTGTTCAAACAGAGTGAAATTAAAGATCAACTCAGAAATTGTGATGCTGGCCTACAAACAGCCTTGGACACATTAAATGTGAGTTCAAAGCACCCACATCGTTATTGGAATGCACTTTGACACAAATTTCTCAGGTTCAATCTGGCATCATTTTAGCTAAAGCTGTGGTTGATATGGAAGCCAATGCAGAAAAGCGACATCATGAGTTGCTCTCTCTTCTTGGGAATCAAAGTGAGGATAGTGCATCAGAATATTCAATTCCTGTAAGTTTTTGGTTTTATGGTCGGAATTTGATCTGAATTTAAGCCGCAACTATGTAGCTCAGCGGAAGCTTTGGTAATTATAGCAGCAGGTGTGTACCAGAATATTGACTGAAAAACTTCAAGTAACGTTCCTTCAGTCTCAGTCTGCTCTCACTTCTTCCTGCCTGTCCTGCCATTTTCAATGGCAGAGAGAAAGAACTGCAAGAAGTAGTCTCAACTCTTCTTCTCGAGTCAGCTCGAGTGGTCATTCTAGGTGCTGGAGGCATGGGAAAGACAGCACTTGCAACTACTGCTCTTCACCACCCTTCTATTATTTCCAAATATTCGCAGAACCGGCACTTCATTTCATGTGAATCAGCGACCACTGCAATCCAGCTGATCAATGCTGTTGGAACCCATCTAGAACTTCAAGTCAAACAATCTACACAGCTGGCCTCTTTGATTATTGGCCACTTCAAAAAGTGTGATGCTGCACTGTTGTGCCTTGACAACCTTGAAACAACTTGGGAGCGACCAGAGGCCAAGAATGCAGTTGAAGAATTCCTATCCTTGTTGAGTGATGTGCCCTGTTTGGCATTGCTAGTTAGTTCAATTCTTCTTGCTGTTCCCAACAACTGAATTCCATTGTAGATCACCATGCGGGGTACAGAAAGGCCAGCTAAGGTTAAATGGACCCGCCCCTTCTTACCTCCACTTACACCACTGTCTCCATTGGCATCTCGTCAAATATTCACTGACATTGCTGATGATACAACAGCCGTGGAGGAACCTGGTTTTCAGGAACTTCTTGAATACACTGGAAATCTCCCCTTGGCAATTAATCTGATAGCCTCTGTGGCCTCATTTGAGGGCTATACCAACACCCTTGCTCGTTTGAAAGCAGAGAGTACAGCTCTCATATCTGAGGGCTGTGATAAAAGGTCCAACTTGGAGAAATCAATCATGGTGTCCTTGACTAGTCCTCGCATGATGTCAGCACCAAATGCCAAACAACTTCTCAGTCTCCTCTCAGTTCTTCCAGATGGTCTCTCAGAGTTCACTCTTATGTCCGGCAATATTAACATCCCTTCCATCTTAAACTCCAGATCTGTGCTCATCCGCAATTCTTTGGCATACATAGACAGTGAGGGTCGACTCAGAGCTTTGGCTCCAATACGGGAGGTCATCCAGACAAGTTCTCCACCTGGCACATCTCTTACTGAACCACTGCGGAAATACTGGCTTGATTTCCTGATCTTGTGGCAATCACAGCAGTGGATGTCCCCTGGAGAAATGATCCCAGAACTCACTTCGAATATTGGAAACATTGAGAGTCTGGTCACACATGGATTAGGGAATGATTGGGGAAAATCTCCACAATTATTTCATTGTATGAACATACTGAACAGCTTCTCTGTGACTATGTTGGGTGAACAAAGTTCTCTCATGCAACTGGCATCCAAGTATATCAAGTCATTGGAAGACAGTTGGATCAAATGGAGATACATTGGAGAAATTCTTCGCGGAAATGGTCCCCCTCTACTCCCCTCTGATACCGATACCTTAATTCAGGAAGGGTTGCAGTACTTTGACAAGGAACATGATGATACTAATCAAGGTAAACCAGATAATTTCCCCTTCAGTCAATTTACTGAAAACATCCAACCCTGCAGCTTATTTCTGTAGCTCTATTGCTCGTTATTACTCAGCGAGCAATATGGAGAAAGCACAGGAATTCATCAATCTTGCTATTCAACTAATATCAGCAAATCATACCTTGGAACTCCTAGCCACAACACCAACCTTTTTGCGCTTCAGGGCAGCTTCTATTTTCAGGATTGCAGCTGATATTCAAAGTGATCTTGGAAAGCATCATGCGGCTAAACATTTTTCACGTGAAGGTCAGAGGATTGCAAGAGTTACTGGAGACATATTAGGGGAGATGGATTGTCTCTGCCATGAAATAATTGCTTTTGTGGATCTAAATGATCTGAAACCTGCCCTTGAGCTATGTGCTATAGCAGAAGAATTGGTACAGAACAATTCATTGCAAAACTCGAGCCTTGAAATGTTACTCCTAGATCTCAAGGCTGGTATTGCATTTGATAAAAGTGAATACATTGATGCCCATCAGTGTTACAACATGATCCTCCAGAAGACTGCCCATCAGAAGAGGTCAAAGTTCCACACATGGGCTTCAGTTGCAATGGTTGAGATAGATATCTTGCTTGGGAGGACAGGACCTGGAACCACCCAAGCTTTGGATGCAGCGAGAGAAACAGCAAGTCACCTTGGATGGACAACAGGCCAGCTTTTTACAGAGCTTGAAGCAACCAAATTCCTGCTAGCACAGAATAAAACCTTGAAGGCTAGAGAATTGTTTTTAAAATGGATGAAGGTCTGCCCAGTAGATATTTACAGGATCAGATTAAGCTTTCTGGAATGTTTGGGTAATCCTGCACACAAGATGTTTAGTGTAGAAGACACCTTCCATTGGGCTGCAACATTTTTCTCTCTTGCACAGAAAACCAAGGCATTGAAAGAGACATACCAGGCTCTTCAATGTTTAGGGGACATTTTTCTTATATGGGGTGACTGTGACACTGCTCTAAACTTATTCCAGTTAGTTCTGGAAAGTGCAGAAGAAATGGGTGTTTATCATCGTCAAGCCGATTGCTTGTCTCAAATGGCTGTCATTGCATTACAGCAAGGAAATCAACTGGAGGCACAGCAGCTGTGGGAGAAGGCCCGAAAAAATTACACCTTCTCATCACTGGCAAAGGAGGTTGCACAAATTGACACACATCTGGCTCTATTGGCAGCTAATATGTCCTCTAAACCCCAGCCGTAAATCACTGCCAGAACATCACAAAATCTTTTTCTGGAATTATGTTGACTCACAGATGGGTGTAAAATCAGTTAGCTGGGGTTGGAAGATAAGTAAATGCAGGTAAATGTACTGTAATGAGGCAAAACCTAAGTACGTAGGGCTGTATTCATGTTCAAACCTTTTTTTTTCCGTTAATTTGTAGAATGGGTAGAGGTCAGTTGGTATGTATCTGCATCACATTCAGGTGTTGTATTTAGAGTCATCTGTATACACTGCCTGCGGTCCTTGCAAAGGACTCCTCGAGGCAAACCATGGCAGGTACATGTTGACTTCTGTTGCAGCCTCTCAGTTCCTCCAGTGTCAGGTTGGGACTAGGAACAGGAACATATCATCAAGCACTGTGATTTTTAGAATTAGGTCCTAAGACCCCATCTGAAGCATGGCCCAAATCGGACAATCGGATCAATTAGAACGTCTTGCCGGATATGGCCGAACTTTATGCGTTTGAAAAATACAGCGCGTTCCGGAAGAATTGCTGAAAAAACGGAGCACGCAGTTTGAAGGCATGACGCTGGGTGTTGGTTTTACAAGGAATTCAAATATTAAAAGAAGAAAAAAAGAAAGAAAAAAAAAAGAACAAAAAACATTCCCGCTAGCCGATTTGAACGACTGACCTCGTCATTGTATCTATTCAGAAACTTAAATACTAGTGACGCGCTCTACCAACTGAGCTAAGAGGGACTTGTTGTGATCGCCCACCCACACTATGATCTCCAGGAGGGCAGCAGCTCTTCATGTCAGATATTGAAGGCGGCCCCCGACCCGAACTCCTCCGGAGGGCTTCTGGAGCTATGCGGCTGCAGACTGCAGTTAGTAACTTGTGCCCAGAGATGAAAATGTATCAGACCACGAGGGGGAAAACGCGGCCAGCAACTCGACGCTTTGCCGTAATACGCCCCAACATGAGGAACAGAAGAACGAAACTCGTGTCGATTTAAAGAGGAATGTTAGACCCGGCGAAATCGCCATTGCAGCATTTGGTCAGAGCAGCCAACATTGAACAGGTGTTGATGATTTTCCGCTAACGCAATTATTAGGTATTTTACCTACTGGGGATATATGGGATCCCCTTTTGTCGGCAATGCCAGCGAGAAGATAAGGACTTTGTGGCCTATTGTTACAACGAGCACCACCAACCGCATTCTGCACACCAAAGAGGCGGAATAAACGTGAATATTAACAGCGGAGTGGAAGTCGAAGACAGGATTGTGCACGTGACGCTTGTTTGTCGATCAAAAACTCGCTTGATCTTCCTCCACCACGCTTTCCTGTGGAGACGGCCACTCGACGCCGGGGCGAACGATGAGCAGGCGAGAGTCGCGGGTATCGATGAACGTCCGCCAGAATGACGCCCTGTTTGAATTTGAGAACTGTACGAGCTTTCCTTGTCTCGTTTCGATATCACACTGATTCTTGGGTGGCTTTGCTAGTCAAGAAGAAATTCCTGCTTGCGAACAAGCATATCACCAAGTAAGTTGCCGTAGTGGTGCTCCAGAGCCATCCCGAGCCTTGGCCCCGTCTGCAGACAACTTGATTTGTCCGATTTGCCTCAAGTGCTACCGGGTGGCAGAGGCATCGACGTGGGGTCAAGTATGGGAGGCAAAGCCATCTCTGGGGCACCCCATTCTCTCTTCCGGACCATTTCTAACCTACATCATTTGTAGACTAAATTCCACACTGAGCATGAAGATCGAGGAGCTAAACTCTGAAATATCGACCCTCTACACCGAGAACTTGCGCCTGCGCGCGTCCGAGATCGCCCTCGCGACCCAGCTCAAGCGCGAGCGCGAAAAGTCCCGCAAAATCTTGTCCGACGCCGAAGCCGCGGTGCGTGCTGTTTGGCGTCTGATTATTACCTTCTGACGCCGCGTAGACACACGCTCTCTCTTCACACTTCGCACTCCTGCGCCAGACCTTCAACATTCCTCTACACGCCCCGCCATCCCCCGTGCCTACGCCCCCACGCCGCCCGACCACCTCCCCTCGGACCAGCACCTACGTTAATAATGTTAATGTTAACCGCCTCTCACGCGAGCCCCAGGTTCCCAATATAAATGAGGACGACGAGCCAGAGGATGCGCCTCCGCGGAAGACGAAGAAGAAGGACAAGGCGCGCCTCAGTGCGTCCCGCCTCCCGCTCCCTGCGCGCACCCCCACACCGCCGCTAGCCCCCACACCGCCGCTAGCCCCCGCGGCACCCACCATCTCAGCTCCCGCGTTGCTACCCGTGCATCTCGACCTCGCGGCGCTCACACTCCCCGGCAAGAAGCGCCGCCAAAGCGGCCTCCTCCTCGACCTCGCCGTCGTCGACCTCGATGCGTTCGATCTGGACGACGAAGCCGAGGACCGCGAGAATGAGCGCAAGGAGCGCAAGCGCCGTGCACGCGACGATGCCGCCACCACGACTACCAAACCGAAACCAAAGCTAAAGGACGTGACAAACTCCAACTCCCCCCGCGCACGCCCAAAGTCCTATCCCGCCCCGGAGTCCGCGCCGACAACATCCGCCCTGCCTCTCGAGACTCAGGCGCGCGCGTTCCTCGTCGCCGCGCCCCCGAGCCCGCCCCCGCCAGAACCCAAGCTCGTGCCCGTGCCTGTACCCCTCGCTGCGGAGTTGGCCCCCCCGCAGCCGCAGCCCGTGTCCTCCGGCTCGTCGTCCTCGCTCGACTCGGCGGACCGCGACCGCGCGTGCGACCAAGAGACGACGGCTGAGGCCGAGGCGAGCGGGCGCGAACGCCGCACCCGCGGGAAGAGTGTCAACTACGCCGAGCCGAAGCTGAACACGAAGATGCGCAAGCCCGAGCCGCCGGCGGGGAGCGCGCCCGCGCCTGCGCCGGTGAAGCGCGCGCGGTCGTCGGCTGCGGCGGCGATCCCTGTACAGCATGCCACCGTGCGCCGGCCCTCGCCGCCCATCAAGCCCGAGGTAGAGGAGGAGGATGCTGAGGAGGAGGATGAAGGGGAGGAGAGCGATGCGTGGGCGGACGGAGAGTACGTGCCGGGGTGGGGGGCGAGCGGGCATGTGAATGTGGAGGGGCGGCGAAGGGTGCCGCAGCATGGGGGGCGGCGGAAGGGGGAGGTGGCTGTTGTTGTGGGGGAGTGGGCAAGGGAGCGGGAACGGGAAGGAAGGAGGCATAGCTTGGCGGTCTAGGCTGCCGCACCTTCCCCTCCACGCGCCCACGACGACTCACTGCCCACGCCTACGACCCATCTGGAAGCGCCTGGAAGCGCAGCAGTGCAGCGGATTTATGACCACGACGAACGAGCGACATGAATAAGTAAAGAAGTAAGTATTATGCCGGTCTTTTTTGTATATGTATGGCTAGAGGGCTCGAACATGGGCTGCTTAATTTTGCACTGGATTTTTGTTTCACTGCCAGACTTCTCAATGGTCTCGCAATGTGAATATCGAAAATTTCTCTTCTATCTGTCCCTCTGTGCCTCGGTTTTTTCCAGAATTGTTTTATGTGCTATTCTTCTATGACTGTAAAATAACCTAGGGATTTGAGAAGGGAAGCTATTGATAAAGAGTTGCTGGCCGGCGCAGGTCCATTTAGGACATTATTGCCTGAGGCGCTCTCCCCATACTTCCGGGGAAAATTGAAGCATGTTATATGCAACATTCCCTAATAGTAACTCTTCATTTTTTTTTTCTTTTATCGAGACAGGGCTGACACGTACTGCGCGAGGCAAGGCGCGAGGACTCGGAGGAGGAGGGATGCTGTGGCGGTGCATGGAAGCCTATGGTCTGCGATAATAACAGACCCAAACACATCTCTGAACACACGACCACCACGGTTCCCGAACTTGCTTCCAACACGGAGTCCGCATCGGTTCCGTGTTTTCCGTGAAGGGAATTGGACTCCCCGACATCACATCAACCAGGACCAGCGCTTGTTTCGTGGTTACATGGCGGTATGATCTGCACATGATCAACTTGCGCTCAGCCTTCGTCGCTCAATCACTTTTTCGTCGTTTTTCCTCCAGCTGGCGTAGCTTTCCTCTGGCGAAGGTGTTTCGGTCTCAGTTCGCCGCTACAAGCCACGTGCGCTATGGCTCTGCTCTTGTAAATGATCAGCGCCCTGACGATCGCTGCAGTGCTCGTTCAATTAATATTGGTCTGAGTGACTCAGTTCAGACTCCAGAGTGTTGTTGGGGATGACTCGGACGAATGACTCTTTTGGTGGCTTCCGCCTTCAATGTAATCCAGTCCACCTTGCTCATCGCCAGGCAGCACCAGTCCCGCTGTGACTCCTCCCGCCCACTGCACTGTATGTAATGTAACCTGTAACTAATAGGTTAGGACTCATCTCCACTTGTAAGCAGTACTGCACCGAGATCGCTGCTTCTGCAGATTTCAGCGATCCACGCGGGTCTTGTAGTCCTTCTCTGATGATAACATAGCGATCGCCGTGGATGACCGACCGCCTTTCTATGGTGGTGCCAATTTTTTTTTCAGCGCGACACATTTCTCGCCGTGAGCGCGAAGAAATCGGGCTCTTCCCGGTAGTGAACGTTTTTGATCCACATGGAAAATCGTACCCCTTCAATTTTCTTATCTTGGTCCACAGCATTGAATTCCACGCCTACGGACCCGACTCCGGGACAGCGACTTATCGGCGGGCAATGACTAGTAACTGCGTTTCTGTCCGTTCAATTCAGATCTGCTGCTGCGATGACTCAATGAACTTACTGTGAAACACTTACACCCAACCATTTCGTCAACTCTACATTTCTTCTTTCCGCCACGCGCCTGTGAGGGCGGAAACGACCCTCGCGGTTGGCGGTACCATCTTCAAATGATTTTGACCGCCCAATTCAAATCCGCTGCTGCGATGAACTCAGTTACACCCAGCCATTTTGCCATCGCTGCTGTTGAGTCTCCATTTCTTCATTCCGCCACGCGCCTGTGAGGACGGAAAAGACCCGCGGTACATGTTCAAATCATTTTGTCCGCCCAATTCAAATCTGCTGCTGCAATGAACACACTGTGACTCAGTTACACCCAGCCATTTTACCATCGCTGTTGCTGACTCTGCATTTCTTCGTTCGCCACGCGCCTGTGAGGGGCAGAAACAGCCCTCGCGACTGGCGGGAGATCCTCAAACCTGTCGCCCTTTCCTCGCCCGAGGCCCCATCTCGCTCCAAATCTTATCCCTTGAAAGACGTCCTCGGCAATCACCCTTGATATCCACCCACCCTACCCCACCCACCCCGACCACTGGGGTACTTACTACATTCTGCTATCCCCGTGTTTTGTTTCTCGTTCCCATTCGACGCTCCTCGAAGTATATATATCGCGGATCTGATATCACCCATGAAGATAAATCATTGTCAGCGTCCGCCAGAAGTATCAGCGTTTGACATCGTTACTATGTACGCAGCACGGCTGATGACGGGAGCTGCGGCATTCATCGCGATCGTGGGATGGATAGCCAGCTTCGGGGACTAAAGGGATTGGACTATTTACAATCGCAAGGGAAGGCGCTGGTCTGCGTCTTAGCCGCACTGGATTCCATTCCGCCATGTAGTCTATATAGGCGCGTGACTGTCAAAAGATCGACTCAAAATCTGAGATTCTAACCGAAGACGCGCGCTAAATATCTAGGTACGTATATTCATTAGGGTCCGTGAAACGATTCCCGCGTCAGCCCGCGACCCGCAAAAACACCGGTGGTACCGCC